GAGTTTACTAAGTGAATTTGCGTGAACGCAGACTCTATATCACACATTGAAATGATTGCTGCAGCAAGAACTTAACAAAACATCATGGATTTTGTTGGCAAATATTCGCCTTTATGCATCACGTCGTTTAGTGAAGGTTACTCTTCACGATGTGAAGAACCGTCAAAAACTATCCGCAAAGCCGTCTTTTTGTGTGCTCTCCATACGCCGGAATGAAGCATATAGTAGGTGCCAAGTTTTGTTCGGCTTCGAAAAATGGTCCGATAATACCATCTTTTTCGCAAATTTTGATGATTTTACAGTACCAATGACATTGTTTACGATTTTATTGGAGAGTTTTTTGAAGTGACTCCCAACGGCGAATTGTCACTGTGTAGTTATCTTCGGCAGGGTTCATACTGAGCCGCACAAAGCGGCACAGTTCCAGCACAGCGCTCGAACTGTGCTCGAACTGTGCCCGAACTGTGCTGCATGCGCAGTTGGAGTATTTTGACCGTTTCTGACGGTTTTTCTTCTAGGTTTCGCTCATTTCGGGCCTTATTCCTCCACCCCGCTTTTCCTTTTGATGAGTGGAACTCCGAGCGCAAAGCGGGGTTGAGGAATAAGCGCTGTTTCGCTTTGTGTGTCCGATTATGCGTGTTGTTCCGCTCGTTCATGTCTCTTCGTTTTATCCTTACATAAGTCGCTGCAATATTTTCGCAGGCATTTTTCTTGAAGAAGAGCAAAAATAGTGCAGAAGAGCAGGAAAGTCCATCAATCTGTTGGCCACTATTGGGCTCCTAGCCCCTTTTCGTTTTCATTTCATTGTTTTTTCGTTCTTTTTTACCCCGCTTCCCTTTTTGTTGTGTAGCGCTTCGAACTTGAAGCGGAGTAAACCAACGAACGCGGTTGTGCTCCATATATTTTCTCAGCCGCGTTTTTTTTTTCATTTCATTGTTTTTCGCTCTTTCTCCTACCCCGCTTCAAGTTCGAAGCGCTACACAACAATAAGGGAAGCGGGGTAAAACAAAAAACAAAAAAACAATGAAATGAAAACGAGAAGGGGCTAGGACCCCACAAGTGGCCAACAGATTGATGGAATTTCCTGCTCTTCTGCACTATTTTTGCTCTTCTTTAAGAAAAATGCCTGCAAAAATATTGCAGCGGCCTCCTGGAAACAAATGGAATACTTTTATGCAAGGATAAAACGAAGAGACATGAACGAGCGGAACAGCACACATAATCGGACACACAAAGCAAAACAGCGCTTATTCCTCAACCCCGCTTTGCGCTCGGAGTTCCACTCATCAAAAGGAAAAGCGGGGTGGAGGAATAAGGCCCGAAATGAGCGAAACCTAGAAGAAAAACCGTCAGAAACGGTCAAAATACTCCAACTGCGCATGCAGCACAGTTCGGGCACAGTTCGAGCACAGTTCGAGCGCTGTGCTGGAACTGTGCCGCTTTGTGCGGCTCAGTATTAACCCTGCCTTCAGGGTCAAGCAAGGGGTGTGGCACAAGATCGCTGGTTACGACCCCCCCCCCTCTGGATCGATAGCTTAGATCTCCTAGTTTTCACAAGAGCGATTTGAGCCTGATTTGTCTTCTTAGCTCTAAATAACATCGTGAAAGCACAGCGATCAAAAGCGAAAAATGGGAAAAACGAGATTTTGGTTGGCTTCTAATTCCACAGTTTGGAGGTCTTCTGAAGCGGGATTCCTGGGGTGGACAAAGAAGGAGTAGTGCTTTGTCTTGAGTGCAAAAACGGATAGCTAATTCACCTTTAAAACAAAGTTAACCATGTTGGAATTTGACCGTTTCACTTAGGTAGCCTAGTATCTTGAATCTTCAGAATTCGCCCACACTTTGTCTACAGGGGTTATTTGACATGCTAATTATGGATAGGATACGAATATCATGTCATCACTATTATCAGATTACACAACTACGACCCCCTCCCCTTTTAACTCCTCAATACGACCCCCCAGGTGTGGCGTGCCGCACCCCACGCTTGACCCTGGTTATCTTCCAACTGAACAATACTGTCTTTCAGTGGAAAAGCTGCAGTTATCCGACCATTTTCGCAATAATTTTTTTGGAGTAGCTCTCCAGATACTTGTAGTCTTTGTTGTCTTTTTGATATTCTTGCGAAATTCCAAGTCCGTCTAATTCATTTCAGGCAGAATTTCCTGCTCACTGTTTTCGTGTAGTGCTGTAAGTCCATAACATACATCATTTTTGCCGTTTGTAGCGTTTATGAGACCTTTTCCATAAACTGTAAGTCCAAAAACGGTTTTGGTTATTTGTAAACTGTTGGCATTTTTATTGAGTTGATTGGACCTATCACTAGCTCATGGTAATAATGCGATTTCACTAAAATGGTGAAACTTGTAGTTCTCTTCTAAGTTTGGAGTTAGCTAGACAAATGTGTTTTCTTTCAAAAATGCGATATCCTGCGGGCATAAGTTGATGCTAGCAACCCCATTTGTTATGACCGGTTTTGTCTGAATTTTGATTTTGAGCTCTTTGCCAAACGCGGTACTAACTCTAACATTCACAATGTGGCTTTTGAATCATTCTATATGCCGTCTGATTCGCGAGATTGTGCAAATTCCGGTCCTTGTGGAATTTCTAAGCGATCCGCTAAACCTTCCTTAATCACTGTCTTTTGAGCTCCAGGATCAAAGAAAAATAGCACTTTCTCGTATTCTTGCTTTTTATGGTTCCATATGTTTTCTTCAGCAGTCATGAGAACAGACTATGATGCACTGATACTCAACTCCGCATGTTGTGAGTTCTTTGTATCTGTGTGCGTGTTGTTATAAGTCATTTTATTTGTTTCGGCTTGATTTGTTGGGAACCGTTGATTACGATTCTGTTGATATGGTGGTCCTTGGGATATTGCCTGTATTTCGGCGATCACCATTCCAGTTTGAATAATTTTGGGGTTTTTGTTGAGTTTCCCTTCTCAAACATAGGCTGGGGTGATGTTTTTGACCGCACATGGAGCAGTCGGATTTGTGACAGTCGAAACTGCTATGTCCAGATGAGTAACATTTCCAACCCCGATTTTCGTCTTTAGCATTTTTCGACGCGTGTTTTGATCTGTAATCGTTCTGCACGATATCGCCGAGTGACTGTTTCTGTGGCAGAATATGCACTTATCGTTGGAGTGAGTTCGTTGACTGATAAACTTCTGCTTTGTCGTGCCGGGCCTATTGTTTACCGTATAGCCAAGTCTGTTCTCTGCAAAACACTTGGCGGCAATCTCTTTCTTTAATTGCGCCAGAAGTAACCTTTGCTGGTCGACCATTTGGCCAGATACAACAGGCTTTACGACGTCTTGTGGAAACTTTGGCAAAATTGTTTCGTGCCACATTGAGTCATAAATATCTGTCACTTTGTACCCTGCGGAAATCACTTGGTTGACGAGAACTTGAATCTCGTCGGGGTTCATGAATAGCTGTCACCAGTAATGTTAGCGGGTTGCATATTCACCAATTTTTGCACGATTTGTGACCTATTGGTCGGCTGATTGCAGTAATTCTGCTTTAGAATTTTGATGATCCAGTTGTATTTTCTGGAACGGGATTTGTACCTTTTATGGCCATTTGAGCTCTGCCTTTAAACCTTTCCTTGAGGTGTATGATTATTCCGCTACGGATATTTCGTTATTTGTGTACTCGCGTTTCGAAGGCCGCCCAGTACTCTGTTTTCCTCTGGTTTACCACTGAATTTAGGCAACGTTGCGTTGCTTGAAGTGGCTTAATTGAGCGGTAGCTAATTGACTCTGAATAGAGTACCTAAGAGGCTACTGAATCAGGAGGGGCCGCGGGTGAATTCCGTTTCACCTTCGTTACTCGCTCCATTTTATTCAGAATCATTTTCAATCGTCAGAGTTTCTATTTCCTGCATTACGTTGTTTTCGTTTCTTGAATTTTGACTGACGTGCCCGAGTTTGATATCTATTTTATCTTTTATGCACTTGTTTTCGTCCATTCGGGCCTCAGTATGAATATTATGTCATTAATTCGGCTAAAGCCACTAGTAATTGTGACTCATCTTGAATATGCTTGATTTCAACCATCAGGTCTTTTCTGGCGGACCTGGTCTTGCAAATTTTGTACTCATCCCTAATTTCGTTGAATAGGTTTTGTAGATTTTCTCTGCCTTCTCTAATCTGTCTGATGCCGCTTTGCAAGAAAGAAATAGCATCTATACATTTCTCATAGTTTTCATCATCAAAGGTGGGACAACTAGATTTTGGTGTGTACTCCTTATAGGTAAGAACTAAGGTCTTCAGTGTGTTTGCGCTAGACACAATAGGAGCTTTGTGGAATTGCAGAAGTGCCATTTTTAGCAGTTCTGGGCAAAAAGTTTCTAATTCTGCGGTACTGGGGTACGGGAATTTTCTCCGGGTGCTGAGCACTAGAGGAGGTGTTTGCAGTATGTGTAAATTCTCCAGGTACAGTGAGTACTGGAGTTGCTCCGGTGCAGGCACGGAGGGCCTGGTTTGCTAAGTGAGCTAGTCTCTCTCCAGAGGCCAAATGGAATCAACTAAGTGACGTAGGAGGAATAGGCTGTTTAGGCCGATGCACCAGATTATTAGGTTACAACGGGCGAAACTCTTGGGTATTTTTACCCGAGTGAAACTTATGTTTGGTGGTTCAGTGGATTTCGAAGCAAAAAAGACGGTTGGAGAGCGAGCGTTTATTGGGCGAATATCGCCAATGTATGTACAAGCAAGTGACAGGGTGGCCAAAGCCACCAAAACGGCAGCGAGGCCACCCCCCCCCCTCCTCTAAGAAAGCATCATCGCCGCCGATGATAAAACGGATTTTACATCCTTCAAAAGTGGCATACTCTAAGCAGCATTGTAAGCATTTAAGTCGATAATGATGCATACCCAGCTTCAGTTCAACGTTAATTAATCACAACGGATGAATTTTGAAAAACATATTATTGTTCTGGGCAGTGGGCACATAAGGGTGCAGCGAATGATATTTCAATTATAATCAAATTGTGCCACAAGACGGTCACTCGCTACAAAGCGCTCATAACCTCAACTCGTTCTCAATTGACGTCCTCATTATGTGAGTTGAAATGTGACTTGCATCGGCTCAAGAAGAAAAGTGAACATTATCCAGTAATTTGCAACTCGCTTGTCAACAATGTCTCGTGTAAAATCTAAAGAGAAGACTCAAAGTGCAGTGAGTTTTACCTGTAAGAAAGATTGCCAAAACAAGTGTGTTTGTAAATAGCTTTTTATAGGAGAGCACCAAGGACTGGGAGCAACGGTCGAGGGAGTCCAAACGATTGAGTTCCAAATCGACGAAATTGTGAGCAAGACAACGGCCCTACTTTTACGGGGGACTTACTGGTTTAGGTTGAGTCAAATGTCTGTGGGAGCAGAAGGAAGAGGAATACTAGGACAAGCAGAAGCAGGAAAAGATTCTGTGAGGAAGCTACTTCTCGAAACGAAATGAAATTAAAATTCAGGGAAAGAAGCAGCAAATGAAACGCCTATTTCATAGGTTGAAAGAAAACATTGGAATTGCAGAGCGGACAGAGTTTTCGAAAGAGCTCAAAGCTGCAATGGAGGGATTGGATCGCTACAAGGTGACTCGCGAAACATCGCAATTTCAAAAAAACGCCGATTTAACTGGGAAAGAGATATGGTATTATGTTTTGAATGATCCCATTCTTTGTTAGCGGCAAAATGAGGGATTGGTGCTGATGTAGTAGGAAAGTAAAGGCTGCTAGTTATTCAACGCGCATTAGTCAGCGCCAAGCTGCTCAATGTACGCAGTCGGTTTATCTTCAGAAGACTGCGCTCGAGCGCTCTGTGGGTGGTAGAGCTTTTTACCTGGCTATAGTGTCGGCCCAATTCTCAGCTGCATAACAAAGTCGTCGAACAGGTGGGCACCAGCTGCAGGCCTGTCAGTTGGCCGATGGCTTTCCTTCAGAGGTCCGAAGGTGGGTGGCCCAGCCTGCCCTTCTTTTTCTGTTTAGTTCTTCCCTCAAGTCGTTATTCATGTACATCGAACCTCCGAGAACGTACGAAGAAGTCTCCATGATAGGAGTGCCTTCTAGTTCCACTTCCGCATCTTCGCGAAGAGCTTCATGAATTCGATTTATTCTCAATCCGATCTTCTTCCCTACTTCATTTAGTTCCTTCAGCATCGTCTCTGCTTCAGTGATACTGCTGAAACTCAGATAATCGCCGAGGGCAGGCGGTCCGCAAACTCACGCTTTTCTGCAAGCGGTCGCGTGGCCAAGCCTTCAGCGAGCGGTACTTTCGTGTTCTGCCAGCGGGCAGCAAAACAAAATTTTCTGCAAGCGCTCGTTAGATAATCTCTTTCAGCGAGCGTTGGCCAAACTTCCAGCATACGCTCGAGCTCATTTTACTCGGTTTCGGGCGTAGGCCGAGCAAAGGTGAGACTCTATGTGGCAGAGGTGTCATCGATGGTTTAATTATCCGAGTTTGAGGTACTTTCTCTCAGGTACCTACGTGCGCAGTCCTGTTCAAAGGACCGTGCGGCCCTCAATAATTTTGCATATTCTGCGGAAAGTCTGCGAGAATGCGGCCACTGCGCCGCAACTAATCTTTAGAAAAACCGCGATGGTTCTCCGAGCATTCGTCTAAAATTTAGCCAAAATTCTCCCAAAAATCTGCAAGCGAACCGCAAGGAATCAGCGAACTGTTTTTTCGGTGCCCGCTTGCCCAGAAATCGCATGGCTACCCTACCCCAGGCGATCTGAGATGGTTTCTGTTTTGCTTCTGGTCATCTGACTATGACCAATATGTCTTGTAAATTTCGACGAAACATAAGGAATCGTCGCTTTCGTGCGGAAGACATGGCAAAGCATTTTTGGCTTAGCCGTCCGTAAAACAAAGCTTGGATAAGAATCCCCATCAAGTCGTCCCAGTTTAGTTAATTCATGACCACTGCAAGGTCGCGGTGAACATGCGGCGAAATAGTGTTGCCTTGTCAAAACCACTTCCCATTTGGTATAGTCAGGGGCGATGGAATAGCTGCATCGTTATTTGCAGTCCTTGTAGCAGTCGGCTAGTGTCCTCACGTAAGCTGAGTCCACTCCTTGATCGACTAACGCTGACAATGGCGTCGTTTCGACGCTGTCGAAGGCTTTGTCGTAGTTCAAGAAGGTCAGGACGAATGAAAGTCGGTGCTCCCGGCAAACTTCTACGATCTTCGAAACCGTCTGAATGTGGTCCGTACAGCTGAGTTCCTTACGAAATCCAACTTGTTCTTGGGGTTGGGCTTCATCTAGTGTCCTAGATATGCAAGCGAGGATAATCGTGAAAAGCTTGTACACCACTCTCAGCAGGCATATTGGACAGGCGTATCGGACGGTAGTTCCGAAGATCCTCCCGTTCACCTTTCTTGAAGAGGTGGACGGTTTTTGATGTTTTCCGTTAGGAATCTCCTCCTTCTGAAGGGAAGATGTCAAATGCGATGCGAAAATCTCGCGTAGACGATGTGCTCCGACTCACAGAAATTCAACGGAAAGATGGTTTTGTGGATCCGTGAATTTCTTCTAGTCTGAATCGCCTTGCGCGCTTTAGCAGGTAGGATTCGTAGTGATACTTTTCCATTGGAAACAACTGTTGATGAGCGAAAGTGGTTGGTGCAGAAATTCTTCGCATTACATTCCATCTTGTATCGGTGGGAAGTCTAGTAATCGAAGCGTCTCTGGGTGAGGATCACGAGCGTTTTATGGCTCGGTTCATACTATTCCCATGTTCCGGAAGAACCGTTCCCGCACAGTTCCCGCACTGTGCTGGAACTGTTCCGGAACTGTGCTGCATGCGCTGCAACCGCCGCGCACGCGTTTTAAATGGGTTGGAGAATTTTGACCTTTTTCAACAGTTTTTCTTCCAGATTCCTCTCATTTTGGCCTTATTCCTCTACCCCGCTTCCCTTTTTGATCAGCAGAATTTCGAACTCGAAACGGTGTTAAAGAATGAGCGCTTACCCCCAAAATCCCTCATTTTCCTTATCTGTGGAGCGCCTTTGGGTAAGGAAAATGATAAATTTTGGGCGGAATTTTGAACTGAATAGTCAAAAGCAAATCGTCAAACACTCAGATAATCGCCGGGGGCAGGCGGTCCGCAAACTCGGGCTTTTCTGCAGGCGGTCAGCAGAATTTCGGGGCGTGGCCAAACCTTCTGCGGGCGGCAATTCCTTCACGGTCGCATATTCTGCCAGCGAGCAGCAATACAGCATTTTCTGCAAGCGCTCGGCAAATAATTTTCTTCAGCGAGCGCTGGCCAATCTTTCAGCAAGCGCCCGGATCTTTTTACGCAGTTTCGGGCATACGTCGAGCACAGGTAAGACTCTGTGTGGAAGAGGTGTCACCGTTGGTTTAATTACTCAAGTTTGAGGTACTTTCTCTCAGCGGAAAGTACCTGGGGCTGCGCGATCCTCCACAAAAGACCGTGCGGCCCCCATAAATTTTGCATATTCTCGCGGAAAGTCCGCGAGAATGCGGCCACTGCGCCGCAGCTAATCTATAAAGAAACCGCGATTGTTCTCCAAGCATTTGTCCAAAATTTCGCTAAAATTCTTCCAAATATCTGCAAGCGGACCGCAAGAAATCAGCAAACTATTTTTCCGGTGCCCGCCCGCCCATAAATCGCATGGCCGCTTGCCCCCGGCGATTATCTGAGCAAGACTCTCATGAGCTCAAATGGAGCACTGGTGTCTCTCAGAACTTTCTATAAAGGAAATTCTTTTGTTTGCTACCCCTTGCTCCGCATTATTCCATTTGCGCTCTTTTACTTCAATGAGGGATTCACTTTTTTGACTCATAGGTTGATTCATACTGATTCCCTTGTTCCGGAACTTTTCGCACAGTTCCCGCACTGTGCTGGAACTGTTCCGGAACTGTGCTGCATGCGCTGCGACTGCCCCGCACGCGTTTGAACGGCGAGAGTTGGAGAATTTTGACCGTTTCCAACGGTATTTCTTCCAGATTTCTCTCATTTTGGTATTCCTCTACCCCGCTTCCCTTTTTGATCAGCAGAACTTCGAACTCGAAACGGGATCGAAGAATGAGCGCTGACTGAATTTTATGCTAATGATGAAAACTTCGCATGAGCAAATGTAAATAGTTCGCGCAATTTCTATGTCGACTTCCACTTATTTGCCTAATTGATCTCCATGTTTGTAAACTACAGTCTACAAACAAGAGCGAAATGTTCGGGTAAGCCGCCTCATAAAAATTTCTCTTGTGTATAAATTCTCATCAAATAGGTTGCTCCAGCTATAGCGTCCAATAATCTTCCGACTGGCTTATTTTCTCCAACATCCTCCCTGCTTCAGTGAAACTGCCTAAAGTCGGTTTCTTCACGCAAAAACGTACGTATATAATAATAGAATATACGTGAGAACAATTGATAGCTATTCACGGTCGAATCCGACCGTATATGTGAACAACAAACACCGTAGCACAATAGAGATTTATGTGCAAAGTGATTTCTTTTTGAAACGATGAAAACAAAGGCACAAGGCACAAATGAAGGCAATATGAGATGACAAGTTAACATTTAAAAAAAAGACAAGACGAGTGGCCAGTCTGGATCAATGCAGGATATCACACTACCTCGCTCATGGCAGCCATAGCGTAGCGTAACTGTATGAGGTCAACCCCGCCCCCTCTCACTGTCTCATCATTACTCTCTCACAGCGTGTATCCTAGAGGCACGCCAGGATGTCTTAGCCAGGCTAGCTGCTTATCGATTCGATAAACAGTCAAACAAAGAAACTTGTAAACTATATGATATATCAAACATACAAGAACGAACTAGTACTACACTACACTAAGATAAAATTAAGGCATTTGCAAAAAAGATGAAATCCATTGACTTACTGCATCTGTTCTAGTCCAGTACCTTCGATACATACGTAGACTGTTGTGAATAACTTTGTCATTAGCTTGCCAATTTATTTAAATCCTTCATAATTTGCCGTAGCTCCATCGTTGTCACAAGAACTCGTAGAATTAGTTGATGTCCTTATGTAAGCAGAGTTCAAAACTGTCGAAAATGCAGACAGAAGACCTTTCAAAGCAATGGTTAATGCGTAAACAAGACACTACTTCCGTTATAATACCTTTGTAGCTCACAAACTGTTTCTTTTTTGCTTCCTGGGCTTATCCGCAACGCACATTTGAAAATTGCTTTAGAAAGCGCGTGAAGAGAGAAAAGAACAAGCTTTTTTCCAAAATCTTTTCAATTCGATTTTGGGCGAATGAAACACTCCCCTCCAAGTTGCTCATGTGAGTGTGGCGTCATGAGGTCTGCTGCTGAGGACGACAATCACGAATGCGCGAGACTTTTCCAAGGCCTTAGTTTCCAAATTTGCAAGCAGCATTCCTGCTTTTAATATAACATTACGGCATCGTATTTGTGCGCGTGGCCAACTGCGTTTACATTAGCATAGTACTAGAAACTAATTTTAAGTTTCCTGCTTCTTCTTCAAAATTCAGCTTATTCCTAATTCCTCAGACTGGGCTTCATTCGGTATCCTCTGTAAAAATGACCCTAACTGCAAATATAATTGTGGCCCTGTTTGGCTGCGACCACCTTTAAGTACCAAACGAATTAGATGCTACGTCAACGCGAATTTGTGCTAGAGAGCAGCCGAGCAAGATCGCGCATGGGCTTTTAAGTTCTTTAGGAAGGATGTAAAGGATCTCTCGATCAATAATGCTGCATGGAATGTTACATCGGCAATGTTCCCTCCTAGAGTTTCGCAGACTTCTTCCATCGGTTGCCCTCAAGCACTTCTTCCCTTTATTGTTACAAGATTCTCCTCGACGGTTGAGCCAGCGCTCTACGCCAGTCCCAGGCGGTGCTTCAGATGCATTATAAGTTTGCTCGCAGGAAAACCCGGCTCTGCCCGGCCTTGTTAATGATATATTCATAACCAGCGGCCCTACGGGTCGCTGTAAGTGGATCGGAGCAGATATATTAGTGTTTGCTTAATTGGTACTGCATCTAGCTATAAACGTTCACATCTCCTCTCTAGAGAAGCTAAATAAATGAAAAATCAAACTTTGCAGATAAACACAAAAAATGTCTGATTCTTTCTTCCAGACACCATCACTAGAATTCAGTTATTTGATACAGCTTGCTTCTTCCGTTGTTTAGTTAAAATCAACATAATCGCTTCCTAACAAGGCTGACCAATGCAGATGCATGCTGGTCTTCACTCCGGGAGCAATGGCAAAATAAAGGACTCCAAAGCAAAGATGATAGGCCGTTGGAAATTTAAAAATAGGGAAAGTCCCAGGGCTTGAAAGCAAAAGCTGAGGTGGTTGGAGGCAAAATCCGTCGAAATTGAGGTTTTCACCGTTTTTCATAGAAATTGTGGGGGAAAAACTTTTCACTGCAAATACTAACTCATACAGTTGAAGGGATACCTCCGGCGGGCAAACGGCGCGAGTCTGCCACTTCGCGCTCTGAAGCGCTCCGGAGCCGTGCCATTTCACCCATTTTGGTGTTCCGGGGCTCTCCAGATCTGGCGCAGGTTTGCGCATCCCGGAGAGGCGTCCCATTCGTTCACCTTGACGTCACAAGCAGGAGAATGGGACCCCTCTCCGGAACGCGCAAATCTCTGCTCCGGAGATGCGCCAGATTTGGGAGAGCCCCGGAGCACCAAAATGGGCGAAATGGCAGGGCTCCGGAGCGCTCCAGAGAGCGAAGTGGCAGACTCGCGCCATTTGTCCGCCGGAGGTATCCCTTCGACTGTCTGAGCCTTGAAGAAGGCATGTTGGAGCTCGACCAGCGAGACCACAGCTTCCATGCTGGGTCTTCACTCCGGGGCAAAGGCTTTTTCTGTGGCGTAAATTCTGACGAAATCGAGGTTTTCACCGTTTTTCGTGGAAATTATGGGGAAAACAAAACTTTTCACTGCAAAAACTGATCAGCCACAGAGAACGCCTGCAAAAAATGCATTTTTTGCTGTTCAATTGCTCTTCGGATTGGGATTTTCGTAGGCATTTCACAAAATGTTGAGCTCTGACGACTATTCTAAGAGGAATTACAATGCTCAGATTTCATATCAAACTATCATGCAAAATGGAAGGGAGGCAAGGAAATCTTTGGAATGAAGCTGGAATGATGTAGCTAGAGATATGAAAAGAAGAGGGACTGTGTATGTAAGCAGCAGAGATTGCTCCAGCTGTGAAAGCCGTATCAAACCGAACGTACGGTATTTCATCACAGTTCGTCATCGCAGGCAAAGTCATAGCACGTGCCGTCATCGCATGCCGTGTGTGCGATCAAGTGACAAGTTTCGAGGCCTTTCTCGCGTCTCGAGCTTGTCTGCGGATAGGAGTACACCCCTTTTTCTAAATCCCTCATCGTCCAGAACCTCTGCGAGAGAGTGTGATGTCTTGCGCGCTCACACTGTCAACAACTCACCCTCCGCAACGCTGAAGCGGGCGTCAGGATCGGAGAACGATGTATAGTTTTCGTTGTCGCGCCGGATGTTTCCAGTTTATATATAGGGTGTCCCAAAAGTCTTTAAAGGCAGTGTCCCGGCAGATTCCACTCATCCATATTTTGCATCATTATGTGACTTTCTCACCCCCTGAATACGATTTCATGCAAAAAACTGCTCAAATCTATCGAAATCTCGAGTTTTTGCACTTTTGTTTTCTTAGAAAGTACGAGTGATGACAAGCGCGCTGAGAGACGCAGACGGCAGAAAAAAGGCGTTGCAAGGAATGTCGTATGACAAAAAGCGGCAGCGTAGTTTCTATTTCTTTTTCTTTGTATATTGAGTGTCGGCCATATTTCCTTGTATTCGTCTACTCCATACGTATTTATGCTCTTATACAGTTGCAGGAGGATAACGCGATTCCTTCTCCGTTGTTACTAATACAAAATATGAAAGCATACTGAGTTTTACTGAGAAGCTGAAGAGGCAGAGTATTCCTGTCAGTAAGTAATTTTGGTTTTTTTTACCATTCAACTTTCAGTTTCCTTTTCTACTTTTATTCTCCTTTTCTTATTTTTTTGCTTTATTTTGGTTCATATCTTTTTTTGATTTGCGGTGTAAGCGGCAGCACCTTCTACAATTTATTGTATGGCATCGTCTAACTTCGTGGTAAACCCGACTTCATGTTACATCCATTTCTTCTTCCTGACACTGCTCATGCGGAAAGCGCCTCGTCAGAAAATCCATGTAAATCTCTTTCCTCCATAGGTGTGAGACTGACGTTTTCTGAGGTTGAACTCTCGCCCTTCTAGTAAACTTCCGATGGACAATTTCGACGCGCCGTACTAAGTGTTCTCCGCTCATCTCCGCCTCCCGTAGAGCATTCATATGCATAGTTGACATCTTTGTATATAGGGGGTAGGTGGGAAATCGCCTGAAAATTTTTCTATCATCTATTTTGTGGTAGCTATCTCTAGTTTGGGATCCCTCACTCACAGAAACAATTCTTTTGGACAGTACAAACGGTCCAGTGAGTTTTTGCTTTCGCACAGACTAGTCCCACCTAAGGACTAGCCTGTGCGAGAGCTTCCTGAAACGCTGGCTGCAAAACTATTTGCTTCAACTTCGTGTGAGCCACACTTCCGACGTCAAGCGTCGGCTTCTCGCTCTCTTCATCCGCTATCTCCGGATCATGAAGGCAGCTTGTAAGGGTCCCAGTAATGTCATCCTGTAAGCTTTTTTTTGGGCAGTGTCATGAATTAGAATTTGTGCCTCGTCAAATTCATGCACGTTGGCGACATGGTGCAGACACGTATTGAAAACATGACGAATGAGCTCGCCACTGTGGGATGCTGCTCCTACCGCTATGGAATAGTATAGATGGGTTTCAATGTCTTCAACCCAGTCTTTGATCGGCGCACAATCCCTCGCTTTTGCGGCCTTAATTTGCAATCATATGGTGCAGTAGGACAGATTTTAAGCTGACATATACCGCGCGTAGGTTCTTATACAGGTATCTTCCGAGGTGCCATGGGTCAAAGAACCATTCGACACTTTCGTCAAATTCATCATTGAAGGAGGCTATCTCGCTTCCGTACATGCTGCTACGGTGGGTTGCGATCGAATGAATCGGGATATCATTTGATCGCAACCACCGTAGCACGCGGCGGAATCCTTCCTTCTCCATTCTTCCGCTTATGTTTGCTGTAGAAGAAATGGATTTGGATACTCGTACGTTTGAGATCCTCTTCCTAACCTGTTTCCGAGCAACAACCTCTGTGTGTATGCAGAGGTTTGTCCGAAGGACAGCCAAAACCCTGCATATTTTGGCAGTAAATCCGCGTGAGTCGAATGCGCCGTCGACGGCGATATTCCATGAAGTAGGTACCCCATTGTCCTAAATTTGTTTTCGGCTGTTGATTCGCAGTTCTCAGATATTTTTATACCTCATACGCCGCGCGGATTTTATGGATGACGTTTTTCTGATGTTTTTCACAGACTATGTCCACGGAGGTAGCCAACTCATCAAAAATGCGATAAAATGCCGTTTTCGAAGGTACTAATACATTTGCCTCTTCTGCCCATTTCTGAATTTTCTGAAATACATCTGTTTGTGTATATTCAGTGTCAGTGTCAAGTGAGTTGTAAGCATTACATTCATTCGCGCTCCGGTTGTGAGGGCGGCGGCACAAGCAATCGCATTACCGCTGTATAGCTTATCATTCGGTCTGGAGCCTAGCTTTTCCTGCCCCTCCCACCTCTTGACTGATGTTGCGTCCTTCGAGACATATTCTATGATGGGGGCGGACCCCGAATTGAGAAGGCGCACTGTTCCTCCGGTGTTATCGCTGCCACAAAGGTTGAGATAAAATAGCTCCATAAGTTTTCTTCCTTGGACTAGATAGTACTTGTCCAGTAGGTGAGGTTTTGTTTCATCAAGCCCTGGAAATGCGTCGCTGTCGGAACATCTCGCGGCTCTTTTTCGGGAGTGTAGTTGGAATCGCTCTGAGTTCAGAATCAATTAGTTATCTATTGACTAATAGGCGGAAGCAGCTTCAGCTATCTGCTTCCATTCTTTCTGACCGTAGTTTTGTAAGAAAATCCCGAGTCTGCGTGTTTCACGGATGGTGTGCTCAGGACTGATTGGTCCATGAACTCTTCGGAACGATTGAGATCTACTTCTTGTTGTGCTTCCCCTGCCCCTTCCGCTGCCTAAACATCGATGATCTATCACATTTTCGAGAACAAAGACCACCTCTAGAAGTTCGATTTCCTCCTCCTCTGGGAAGTTCGCGTCAAGAATGTTCAGCCTTTACGACCGAAATATTTTTGCATGTAAAAGTTGATGTATTGGACCACATCTAGGGCGGCTACGGTGGTATTGCCCTTGAAAATGTCATATGACTTGTCTTGATCTAGTTAATGACACTAACAGAGAAGGTTTCGATCGCGACTTGATGCTGCGTAGAAGATGTTCAGGAATGTCTCTTTCATCGTTTTTGATATACGCCCACCGCTTACGACTATTTCAGCCAGCAGATATTGCGCCTAATACTGATATTATTGATTCTGTTGGAGGTTCACAATAAACTTACGGCATTTATAAAATGCGTTATGCATATGTATTTCTGCTTTCGAGCGAAGGTTTCGAAGTAAAGCTCTAGCAGTTCCTGCGCGCTCGAGGTGTAGATCTTCAGAGCAGATAAGAAGACCGCGTTGTGGGCTTGTTTCTTCGACGAGCGTGTTGTTAAGCTCTCTTCGACTTTATTTCCGCATATGATGCAAGAATATCTCTTGACCATTTCGTTTGTGTCTAAAAACTGCTATGATTGCACGATTTTTCTCCAAATTCTGTGTAGCGATAGCGATTAGAAGCAATAACAACATCTTTTCCTTGGCAAATTTACACAAAAAATATACTTATTGATCAAAACGGGGAATTCTACCGCGGACCCTGTTGTTTGCTGACGTTCGTACTTTCAGGAAGTAACGAGAAAGGGTTTATGTCTACAAACGCATAAAACATCCGTTGTAAAGAAGCACGCAGCAACGTGGGAATGCGTAGGAATGATAACAACCACCATTGTTTCGCTGTTGTTTGAATTCCTTATGGTTGTAAAAATCTGGTGGAACCTGATTCACTTTTCATTTAATGAATTGTTTTAGTATTTTCTGTACACGTAAACAAGTTGTAATGGGAATTAGCTGCGAGAAAGAATTTCATGGATTTGAGGTACCAAACCAATTTTTCAATTCTTGATTTCCATCTACAGCTGTGATAAACGCCAAAGATGAGAGATGTTACGAGATGCTTATTTGCAGTACAACTGTTAAAGTGAATCGCTATACAAGTTTGAAAGTAGATAAAAATTAGCACTAATGTATGTCAGTAAGAAGCGTGAAAAGCGAGATTCATGGATCTCGTTTAGTGAAATCAAGTAAGAATACTGCATAGGGATTAATGATTGTCTTTTGAGCGTGCACTCGTGCATTGTAGGTTCTCAGCTTGCATTCCGAAAACTTCTACGACCACCTCTGTCTAGAAGGCACGTCTATTTTGTCCCATTGAGCACTAAAATGAACTTCACAACTACTTTGGCAGCGCACGAATCTCTAAACTCTTACCAACCTGGAAAAGTTTCGAGCAAATCGTGAAATAAAGATGAAACTTCCTTACAACACTTGCATCGAAAAGCAGAACAAGAAATAATTTTTGGCAACGACGCTTCAATTGACATGGACTGTGCTGGCGCGGAAACTAGCGCGCAGCAAAGTTATTGCTGCTTCGTCCGAGCGCGCGCCGAATGGAGCTGCGCGCGCCTGTTTGAGGGGCGTTTTCTCGGAGGAGGGGTGACATTACCCGGCGAAATTTGGTCTGAGGATCGCTCAGGTGGCCACGAATCCTCCTAGTGCAAAATCTCACCAACCTTGAACCTGCTGGGACACTGCCTTTAAGCCTAGTATTCCCTCAGCTGCAACTGTAAGAAGCAACACTGTGACATGAAATTCAGCAGGAATCTTGTGAACCTACAAAATAACGAGTTACACTAAGTTTTCAAGAAACCCTTATTTGGCTTTTACGCAAGCCTTCACACTCTTGCGGAACGCATGCATCATGGCAGACAGATAATTGACGTCAAGATGTCTCACAGCTTCTGAAGCAAGCGTTCCAGACTGCCCAAAATTTAGTGTGGCACAGAGCAAGCCTTGCTTTCTATGACTGACCACAAAGAAAACTCAAAGACTGTTGAGACGGCGTTCAAAAGCACCTTGATCTGAGAAGCACGTCTGTGAGATTTAACAAAAGTGTTAAAATGTAGCTATCAAGTTCTTGTGAACATCAAGAAAACAGCAGTTTTGGTGTGCATGGAATGACTCTAAAATGGTGTTTCAGTAAAGAATGCAGAGCTTACAGCTAGGATTATGACTCAAACTGAATTGGTGTTGAAGCTTTCAGATTTCTCGGATTTTTGTTTCCGAGAACTTTTTTTTCTTATTGACACGGTACTACTCTAAGTGTTTGTATCTTAATCGTGCATTAATGAATAGAGGCTACTGATTAGTTTTGCACTGTAGACGTAGAGTGAAGCTAGCTCTACAATATGCAATTCAAGATTTCGCAAGAGCTTCAAAGGCAAAAGAGCTATAGATGTGTGAGTAAAAGGTACGTTGACATTGGGTCGTCCTCAAAATCGTAGTATTGTTTGCTCCAAAAACAATATTTTCAGAATGTATAGCACAAATGATACGATTTTCTTAAGGAATACTGAAAACTAAACGGAGTACTCATACGCAAAATTTGACTGGAAAGCGAGGAATACTAACAAAGTTACTACGTTGGGAAGTTAGGCTCAAAGACTTTTGAGACACCCTGTATAAGTAGGATCAGGATGCTCACTTTAATCCCCTGTGCCAATTTCCAGCATCGTAGAAAAACTCTGCAAAAAATCGATAAAATCAATAACGGGAAGGTAGCCTAGAAACTATAGTTACCGCATATTCGTGTTTGAATAGCTTATTCGAAATATTCTATTTTTCGAATAGTCGAATAGTCGAATATTCGAGAAAGTCCAATTATTGGATTAATCGAATAGTCGAATAAATGAAAAAGGCCTCTATTCAAATAATTCATTCGAATATTCGTTCATTCGAGGAGTTTTAAAAGACAGTTATTCGAATATTCGTATATTAAAAACCATTCATTCGAGCATTCGATGTCAAAAGAAAACTTCAGCTGTTTTACAATGGGTGCAAGTAAGTCCTCCGATCGGTCAATCATACAATGAATGCTCATATGACAGAATGACTAGCAAAGTTTCCTTTTTAAGGCAGTCGCAAGTTATGCCAGAGAACAGTGCGGACAAGTCTTATGTATAATTCATTTGAAGTGATAAACTATCTTCTGGGAATCGCGTCTGCAGAAGTTGAGATGCGATATCATGCGCAAATACTTCCAAGCTCTACTGGATGAAGAAACAAAGCCGTCATTAGGCGCCGCTTTAGCGGACCAGCAGTCCTTTGAAGGCGTCCGGGCAAAAAATCGAATTTGAGATTTTGTGCTTACCCGGGCCTATTTTCGCTATGCTGAATCAAAAAATCCACACTAGAAAGCACAAAAACAGCGAAAAAGGGTTCTAACGTAAAATGGAAATCAGCAGGTGGGCGGGGTCTTTCCCACTGTGGATTCATGCTCTCAGCTCGCGGAAAGATCTTGCCGGTTCCGATTCTAAGTTATGTGTTTGCACTCGACCGGTGGCGATGTCAGGACGGCTAGCGGAATAAAAAAGATCGTTTCTGAATCTGGGAGCGCGAATTCACAGTGGGGAAGACCCCGCCCACCTGCGATTTCCCTCCTGTGTTAGAGCCCTTTTCGCCGTTTTCGCGCTCTCCAGTGTCATTTTTGGATTAAGGATAGCGATCAGGCCCGGATAAGCATAAAATCTCAAATCGACTTTTTGCCCGTACATTGCCTTCAAGGCAGCACGTATTAGCCACATCATTCCTTCATTCGAGATCTCCACTTACCTTGCGCTTAATCATTGCTCGCATGTCAAAATATAGGCCGTCCGCGCAGGGCGCGGAGAGTGCGCAAGGTGTGTATTGCGCGTTACTCCTCTTTCCTCGTGCACTCTCGCCGCCTGTTTTTCTCTGCGCTTCTTCCAGTCGTGAACTGCCTTCAATGTACGCAACAGCGTTGCTCTCCGTGCGCAGCGCGGACGGCCTGTACCTACAGTCGAGTAGATTTTCCGCTCAATATAGTGTGCTTACACTGAAAATGAAATGCGGTAAAATTTGCGCGTAAAGAGATAGCTACGCTTGTGGCGCCGACCATTTGCGCGCGCAATGTTGGCATTACTGGAGTGGCTACTTGTTCACGCGCAAATTTTACCGCATTTCACCTTCAGTGCAAGCACATTATATTAAGCGGAAAATCTACTCGACTGTAAAAGATACGTTAACACAGCGCAAGGTCAGAGCAAGGCGGCAGGGATCTGAGCACTTGACTTGTAACGGCTGCCTATATGTCAGTCATCACCTACTCAAACCGGTTGCGTTTTTAGTCAGGAAGCGCAAGAAAACTAGAATTAAGATGTTGCGAAGAGGAATGATACTTTGAGTAGGCGTTAGGTTGAACATCAATGATTTTGAACCTGAGTAAAAGATATGGAAGATCCCTCACAACAAAAGTACAAAGCTCAAAAATACAGCTAAAACAACTTTGTAAAAATTCAATTTCACAACAGAAACTGTGAAACTTAGGGATTGATATTCGACAATATTAGATTAGCAGCTAATATGCAAAAATATTTCCATGCCTTTTTTTCGGATTTAGATACGCACAAAGGGATATAGACACTGTAGGCCTTTCTCGTGCTCTTCCAGTGCTAGTCTCACAAGGGAAGAATACTTGGTAGAAATGACGTTTGCAAATGAAATATATACCGTCTACCGTCTTATATAGCATGATACGAATAATTTCGAATTTGCTTCTATATCTGCAAAAAAATCTAGACTTGCGGCTACAATAAATTCACCCAGAACTGTTTGGTGTGAGGTCAAGGTCATAATTGATGCGAAAACGCTTTGCAATTGAAATCTTCAATCTAGTAAACTGATGTTAATCCTTACACCTTTCAAGCGCCATGAAGGTTCACTGTTTTTACCTTAGCCAAGGAGTTTATACTACAGATTCCCATATCTCTGCTCCCAGAAGAGGTTTGCAGGTAACGAAAACAGATATGGAATCGCGTTCCATGCTCTATGAAACAGTCTCTATTTCATATGAAAACGCTACTTTAACCAAGTATTCTTCTCTTATTGTAACTCACGCGATGCTGACCATCACGAATAAATTATAAACAACCCCTGTTTTGAAAGGTTTACCACGTTGAATCTGTAACTCTGGGAGGAAGTTCTGTGTAACTCCGGGAGAAACTTCGGTGAGGAAGAATAAATGCGGATTTGAAATGGTTACTGAGTAAAGCTTAGTAGCCGTTTGAAGGACAATGAACACCTTGAACCACATGTTCGGGCAAAATTCTTCTGTTCCCTAGATAGACCCTGACCAAACGACAATAACCCAGCCATCATTACCACTTGCTACGCACATAATTATCAGCTACAAATCTATGTCAATTATAAGGATTAATTTTATTTTGCAGAAAATTGCAACAAAAAAAACCAGCAATGTTTGACCATTGAATTATTCAAATTATTCGAATAGCCGGACAAGTAGAATTATTCGAATATTCGAATAGTCGAATATTCGACCATATGTAGTTGTTCAATTATTCGAACAATTGAATTTTCGACCAACCCCATTTATTAAAATATTCGTTCGTTCGAATTTCAAACTGTAGCATTATTCGAATATTCGAACCCGAATAATCTGAAAATCACAGTACGAATAATACTCGTTCGTTCGAATATTTTTCAAAAGCCGATCAATCGATATTCGTGATTCGTTCGACAAAATATTTTGGTCGTTCTAACTATGCTAGACACCCACTCCGCCCCGAAGTGGATGTGTGTCAAGTTTGGTCCAGATCGGTTCAGATGTAAAAATTTCTATCCGGAACATATGAAGATACATACAGAAAAACACATTCAGCTTACCAATACTTAGAAATATTTGACTTAGACTTTTGTATGTTTGTCCAAAAAGGATGGAGGGAGCCATGGAATCTGAATCAAAGGCAGACATAATGTATGGGGTGGCGTGTGTTAACGCGTTGACAACGAGCTGTTTTTTTTTATGTCTGTCCTTGTGGACGAACCGCTTCCGGACATTTTCATAGCTGGCTGCATATATGTATGCATGCATCTACGCGCAAGATACAAAAATTTAAGTGGGCGGAAGTCCCGCCCACTTTTCAAAAATGCCGGAAATTGCACAAAAGAATTCGTGCAAATTCCGGCACTTTTGAAAAGTGCGGGGTTTGCCACTGAGAGGCGGAGTCTGCACGGCGGGAGGCGGGAGAAATAGTTATTTTGAGCTTCCCCCCAGCCATTTACAAACTTTTCTATGCAATTTGAGATGGAAAAGAGTTTAGTGGGGAACACAGTGAGCGGAGTTTGCCAAAAAGGGGGCGAGACCAACATGAAATACTTCTTAGCCACACAGACTGCCTGTCGCACAGCGTTGCGCGACACCGTCGTCAACGTGTTAATAGGCCTTTTTGTGTGAGATACACAGATTGCCCCTATTGAGTTATCAATTATTTGCAGTTTTTGCTTCCATGTTTTATTTCTTTTTTTACTTTCAATATTTTTTATGTTCGATCAAAAAGCGTAGACGGAGTCATGGAATGTGGAGCATAGCAGCAGAGAGCAGCTGGTTTACAAGATTTTGATGGCGGACTTACTAAATACTCGCAAACATTTGAAGTAGTAATTGTCTTTCCCTTCCGATAAGCTAGTCATAACTAGGACCCTCTGATCTATTATATGAAAGGCACAGACTAACTTTTTGCAACGCAACAATGGATATCCATTTCCATCATCAAATTGTACTTTCATTTGAAAGGATGGATTGGAACACTGCAAAAGATTTTAAACAGGGATCCAGTAGTGTCCATCCCTGATTGGTGAGCCAGTTTACCCTGATTGGTGAGCCAGTTTTCACATGAGTCATTCCGTTAAGTTACCCCAATCCAAAGCTTTCTTTCAAATAGAGTATGACGAAGAATCATTGCAGCAACGAGAAGCCCAACAAAACTAATCCTGTTCCTTTTTTCGCTTATATTTGATTTTCTCTAATTCATATTTTCTTGTAGTGTTATTTCCATTTTGGCTGCCCGTGGCAAATTTGTAAGAGGACTTTTGGTTAAAGACAACCTACTCCACGCACCTCCATAGATAGTGCCCGATGTGTTTCATTCTGATCATGAAGAGAAGTAGCTATAAACGATGCTGATAGCCTTCCGACTGGAGGTGGAGCGGCGATCACCGGTCAAGGTGATGGGATCTCTCGTGGACACAGATAAAGTGGACGATGGATACTTAGACTGTTCTGTGGCGGCTCCCAGCGGCAAGTCGTTGCAGTAATATCAAGTTTTCATAGGGCTGAGTTCTGTCGTGGCGTATATCGAATCACATATTTTATGAAAGTACACTGATTGCTTTGAAGCTTGATCTGCCCGATTAGATCTCTGCTATGCATTGCAAAATGGCATTTATCACTTTTATATCACAAAAGACGGTAAACAGTTTTGAACAAATGGCCGCATAAAATAATAAATAATAACCTAAATATCAAATTTAAATATATTACTGATACAACACCCACTCTAGACCGCCATCGTAACTGTTTCTTCCAGCTTTGTCTTGATCATCTGGCCGATACGATGTGCCGCGTGATTCAGGAAAACCCTAAACACCGCACGAAGGTATCAGTTGTGTTTCTTTTTTTTTGGAGACCATATAACTTCAGGAACAACAAAAGCTTGCACCCCCTCAAAATGAAGATGAGTTTGAAAAAGTAGCAGAGTTACTCAAAACTTGCAAAGATTTAGCAGAATATCCTGTGAGTAGACTTCGAATTTGATCCAGAAGACGTTGAAAATTCAGAATTTGAAATTGCAAACGGAACTTTATCGAAAGTTGGCAATAGAACACAGAAATTACCTACGACGAGCAAGACGCGCCCTTCATAATATTCGGACGTTTATTCAGCACGATTATTGGGTAGTGGGAATACAAAGAATAGGTAGAATTTTGGGTCATAATGTATATCCTTCCGTGAAAATTTATAGAGCTGGATGAATTACGAGCGGAAATGGATTTTGCAAAGTCTGAACTCAAAGGAGCAAAAGAACCGCAGCTGATAGAAATGAAAAACAGAATCTATAACGAAGCTACGAAAGCATTTCAAGCAAAGCTGAAAGAGGTGAGTGATTGATACACTACGCCTTGGGATGTAACGAAAGAATATCATGACGAAAAGCTGTGTACAGGTCAAAAACTCAATGGATTCCGTTCCGAAAAACCGAGAAGAACACATTGCGGACATACTTGAATGGGTGCAATGCACTAAAACATATCACGAGAGAATGGCCAAAATTCTTGGAGACGCCTTGAAGTAAGAAGAAAAAGATTCTGCACAAATACGATATACACTATAAACATATTCGAAAAATTAGAATGGATCAAAACACTGCAATAAATTGTTAAGTATGATAAGTGCAATAGCCATAAAGTTCCTCGTAGAAAGTTAACAATCAGTGGTTTTACAAGTCTAGAGTGTTGCATGGTGTAGCTAATTGTAAACCATAAATCACGGTTGTCGAAGAGCCTAGAATTTATAATACTAGCGGTACGGGTCGCTAGTAAGTGGGCTGGGGCAGATACATTGATAACTGTCTGCGTTCAACTGAGAATAGCAAGAGAATGAATTCCCATTTTTTCAACGATCTTTTTCGAAATGCAAGTAGTAGAAGAAGCAAGATCAGGCTCTCAAGGAAACTTTTTGCAGCGACTAATTACCAAATCATATATGCTGTTCTTCTTGCAAATACCCAACCCCAGCTTCTAAGAATTGAAATCGCCTAAGCAGTCATCTATGTAGAACAGCTGACTAAACCCGAAATTTAGGGTGACTTTCAGGAATGTGCGACGGCCTCAAACACATCGAGCTTCGCGATCATGCACAGTCCTATACTCTCCTTACTATGTCTCGCCAAGAAACGGTCATTTCTTGAAGCGAGACCAAATTTCGCTCAAAGCTTTCTCCTGTACAATCTTAGCAACCATGTCCTGCCGCATGAAGCCCCTGGGTTTTCCTTCCCCTAAGACCAAGCTTCCCTTGCTTTTTCTGCTTTTAGGCGAAGTACGATTTTCTCGAAGTAGAAGCGATCAAAAGTGGATATTAATCGAGCTTTTGTATAATTTTCCGTTAAACCTAAGAAATTAGAAGAGTTTACCGCTTAAGCACTTCGAACTTTCTTTCCTTCGAGACCAAGCCCCCTTTCTTTTTTTGCTAAAAGGCAAAAGTATGATTTCTGCGAAGTAAAAGAGGCCAATGTGGGTTTCAAGCAATATGATAATTTAGCATTGATCTTGCCGCATAAACCCTCGGGACCTTTCTCCCCTCAAGACAACTTTGCTTCGCTTCTTTATTATAGAAGGCAGAGGTATGATTTCTGCTAAGTAAAAGCGGCCAAAAGTGGACAAGCGAGCTTTTGTATAGTTAGCATTGAAATTGAGAAAATCTTAGCAGAAATGCGCTGCCGATAAAGCCCTTAGGCCCTCCTTCCCTCGAGACCAAGCTCTCGCTTTGCTTCTTTGTTATAGGAGGCAAAGGTATAATTTCTGCGAGATATTGGCCTGTGAAGAAAGAGTCCGGGCACTTTTGAAGATTTTGTTTTCTGATGCATTTTTTGCCGCTCCGTCGGAACACCAAGTTTTTTTTATACTGTTCGGTAAAAGGAAGTCTAGTTTTTTCTTTTCTAATTTTCATCAATGCCAACATGTACGATCTGCACGTCAAAAATAGAAATCTTTTTAACCATGACAACTTCACAATTTTTTCCTGCGGCTATTTTTTTGTATTCAAAGGTTTTCGTCCAAATCGTGTGTGATCCAATCGAGGAAACTGTTAGCTTCTGACCCGCAGATGCGCTCGAGTTTTGCTATCTGCGCTCAGAAATTATAAGCTGTCAAACTTGCCTCTGACTGCAACTATTTTCGCAGCTGACATCGCTTCTGCGAGGATCGCCATTGGGTTCAAAAGATGCATAAGGATTAGCCCAACAAAGGAATAATCAAAGATTTGGTTCTTTCTGTGCAGAACGAAAAAACTTCAATGTCACTTACTCGAAGAATGGTGCATTTATGGGGCAAAAAATGGTCAATTTCTTGAGCTATCTGGAGAAACTTATTTTGCAGATAGTCGCTCAAAGGCGTAAATAGTCTCCAAGATAGCCCCAGCAAACTTCTATATAACTACAGCATATTAGCTGTCCAGCTCTCATCATGCCTGAGATATTCTGCGCAAATAGGCCACTTTTCGCGTCGATCTTTTTCCCTTCTGCGCATGCTGGTGGACCGCAGTGAGACGCTGAAAAGTTAGCAAGGTAAATATATGTTCTAGACAAAATTGTCTTTGCAACGAATTTTGTAGCTTTAAAAAAGAATCAATCTGTTTGAAATTGCAGCGATTTGAAATGTTTGCAAGTGCCCGGGAACTTTCTTTAAGACCTAATAAAAGCGGTCAAAGTGAAATTCAAGCGAGATATGTATAATTTAACATTGAAACTGAGGATTTCTTAGGAGAAATGTTTGCCGCTTGAAGCTCTTGGAACCTTTTATTCTTCGAGACCAAGGTCCCTTTGCTTCTTTGTTATAAGAGGCAGAGGTGTGATTTATGTGAAGTAAAAGCGGTTAAAAGTGGACTTCAAGCGAGCTTTTGTATGATTTAGCATTGAAACTGAGAGACTAAGGCTGCGTTCATACTGATTCCCATGTTCTGGAACTGTTCCCGCACAGTTCTCGCACTGTGCTGAAACTGTGCGGGAACTGTGCGGGAACAGTTCCAGAACTGTGCTGCATGCGCTGCAGCCGCCCCGCACCGTTTTGAACGGCGGGAGTTGGAGAATTTTGACCGTTCTCAACGGTTTTTCTTCCAGATTTCGCTCATTTTGGCCTTAACCCTCCACCCCGCTTCCCTTTTTGATCAGCAGCACTGCGAAGTCGAAGCGGGGTTGAAGAATGAGCGCTTTTCTGCGCCGTGTATTCGGAAAGATGGGCTATCGTGCGATTGTTCATTCTGTCTTCTTGTTTTTTGCTCAAAACTACTTTATTTGTTCCAGGAAGCGGCTGCCCAGTTTCCTTAGCCATCTGCCACGAATTAGGGAGTAGGAGAAATCCTGAAATTGCATGAGTTGGGACTTGTCTCTTGTTTTTCATGATTTTGGGCGTTCTTAGCCTTGTTCGTTTTTCCATGTCGTTGCTTCTCCGTTCTTTCTTCTACCCCGCCTCTCCTAGTGATGAGAAAAGCTGTGAATTTGAAGCGGGGTTGAGGATTGAACGCTGTTCTGCTCCATGTATCCGGGAATATGGGCCTTCGTGCGCTCGTCCATTCTCTCATCGCTATTTTTGTTCAGACCTACTTCATGTGTTTTAGAGACTTGTCTATTTCAATTTTAATACGATGCGAGACTACGCAGCGACTTGTTAGTACACATGAATAGGTCTGAACAAAAATAGCGATGAGAGAATGGACGAGCGCACGAAGGCCCATATTCCCGGATACATGGAGCAGAACAGCGTTCAATCCTCAAACCCGCTTCAAATTCACAGCTTTTCTCATCACCTGAGAAGCGGGGTAGAAGAAAGAACGTAGAAGCAACGACATGGAAAAACGAACAAGGCTAAGAACGCCCAAAATCATGAAAAACAAGAGACAAGTCCCAACTCATGCAATTTCAGGATTTCTCCTACTCCCTAATTTGTGGCAGATGGCTAAGAAAACTGGGCAGCCGCTTCACAAATGAAGTAGTTTTGAGCAAAAAACAAGAAGACAGAATGAACAATCGCACGATAGCCCATTTTTCCGAATACACGGCGCAGAAAAGCGCTCATTCTTCAACCCCGCTTCGACTTCGCAGTGCTGCTGATCAAAAAGGGAAGCGGGGTAGAGGATTAAGGCCAAAATGAGCGAAATCTGGAAGAAAAACCGTTGAGAACGGTCAAAATTCTCCAACTCCCGAAGTTCAAAACGGTGCGGGGCGGCTGCAGCGCATGCAGCACAGTTCTGGAACTGTTCCCGCACAGTTCCCGCACAGTTTCAGCACAGTGCGAGAACTGTGCGGGAACAGTTCCAAAACATGGGAATCAGTATGAACGCAGCCTAACGACAGAAATGCACCGCCGCATGAAGCTTCTGCAGCTTTCCTCCCTTCGATACCAATTCGCCTATGCTTTTTTTGATTTTTAAAGCAGAAATACGATTTTCGCAAAGTAGAAGCGGCCAAAATGGATTCCAAGCATGTTTTTGTGAGAAACCTGGAACCTAAACAATTATACCAAAAATGACTGCGGCATGAAATCATTAGAAATCATGAAATCATTACTTTTTCATTTTAAACTATGATATGTTGGTTTCACGTCTGCGTCTCATGAAATGAAATGCAGTTTTCATTACTCTACCTGATAAGGAGAACAATGGTGTTAACCTGCTGATTAATTCATAGTTTGGTTTAGAATGAAACAAGCATAAAACAAGTATGGTTTTTCGAAAGTAACTTGCATGTTTCATAATTTTGTATGACCGATTGAACTGAACGGCCGAAAGAAGATGATCATGCTTACCACGATGTAATCATGATTAAACCATTACATCATTCGTTGGTTTCGACCATATTACTACCACTCTAGGTCTTTTATTTTCTTGAGACAAGCTCCCTCCGCTGTGTTGTTTTGACTGGCAAAAGTATGGTTCATTTTTAAAATTGTGACGACGAATTGACTGCGGTCTTTCCGCACACAGAAGGATAAAACACCCATACAAACAGGCAACACCTCAACGCTAAGCTTAGTCACTTCCGGTACCTGAATATCATCATACGTAAGTGGAAAAACTATTTGAGTAGAGATAGAAATCAAGAATTGGGAGTGCTGCGTGTTGCACGCGGTAGCAATATGGGAGCTGCTGAAATTTATGGGAACCTGAAACTCAGGCTGATTTTTAGGAGCTGTGTCATGTTTTAAAAAGCTTCCAGTAACAAAAAAACCTAGTCATGTAAATTTTTCAAAGCGACTTCAACCAAATTTCGTGAAATATCTCCGAACGAACCTGTTGCGGCTAATCTGCAGTTCCATTTTCACACATTACAGAGTTATCCAAGATAAGCACCGGCCAAAGATATAATTGAAGCAGAACCAAGCGTAAAAAATAAACACTGCAGAAACTGGACGCAACCAAAGTCAGACGATCACACCGCAAAGATATTTTGGCGAAATATGGTTCAACTGCGAAAGGGAAACTGAGCCAACAGGATAACCCAATCTTTGGCTACTGGCGGCTACTGCGGGCTGCTACGGGCTGCCAGCGGCGACTGCCGGCGCGGTATGAAGGCGCCTTATAGCGATACAGCTTGCTGAAGCTTTCTATTGGATAATT